GTTCGACCTGGGCGGTGTCGCTCGCGACGCCTGGCAGACGCGGACGAAGCGCGCTCCCCACTTCCAGATCGGCAAGGCTGTCAAGGCATACACAAAATGGGCTATGAAGGACGGCAGAGTCGAGCATCTCTGGTCCCAGCTCCCTCTATTCCAAACCGTCACCTTCTCGAGACATGTACACCCGGCCGTGGCAGAGCGCAAGATGATCGAGAAGCTTGGTCGGCTACACGAACTATGGTACGACGCTCTACAGATCGATGAGGCAGCAGCCCGCGGAGATGCTATTGTGCCTGAAGTCCCGACCCTCTATGGTATCACTGCAACGCACACCGTTGTGGCATTTGTGAGCTACGCGCCGCCGACCTTGAAGAACGAACAACCTTCACTACGTTTACTGGCCATGTACGACTTTATGCAGGAAGGCTGTGATGTTTGGAACTCACTTGCTATCTCCATCTTCATCATTCACGCGAGGAATAGAATGATGCAGTTGAGGGAGTGGCTTCCAGAGCCCGAGGTATCAACCGGCGAAGACCCTGATCTTTGAACGACGAACACGAAACGAAAAACACAACACACGAGAATGGATGAAAGAGATGACAAACTACGTAATGAACGAGATGGATATGGTTATGAACGATGGATACGATTTCAGTGCGAGGCCTTTTGCTTCTAGATATACCCGGTTATGAGCGCAATACCCCCAGTTTTCTTTTATTTCCTTTGTCAGACTGGCTGAACGACTGATGTCGGGCTCCGCCAGAGAGCTGGAGACGACGAATACCCCAGATTGCGTCACTTTGCACATGCCTCAACGCAAGCTAACTTGCGGTGGTTGATGTGACAGAACGAAGAAGATGAAATTGATCCAAGCAATTACATAGTAATCATTGAAAAAAGGATATGTCATACAATTGCACTCCTCTGCCTGGTTGTGATACTGACTTCTGGATATATCGCGACCCTGTTGACGCCATAACTCCACATTTCGTGAGTTGGTGCCTCTTCTCCTTCATATCCCCTCACACCCCTTCACCCTCTCCTGGAGCGGCTTTTGTGTCCTTGATCAAACCTCCTTCCTCGGGGTCCACACCCAACCTGCTTCTTGACAGATCCTCAGATCTTCGAGCTTCTTCTCCAAATCTAACATGCAGTCCCTGCAGTGTCCCGAGAAGATGGTTATGGAATTGGTGGGGTTTTGACACGGTAGTCGATACCTGCTTCCGGGGTCTGCGCCGCACATGGTGAACGGGTTGTCGTAGACTTGTGTCTTGTGCTCGCATGCGGTGTGGTGGTAGAAGTTGCGTCTGCACATTGTTGTTAGATTGTGATTTTGGTGAAGATGTAGGCTTGGAATTGGAGATTTGACTGGGAGATTGGGGACTGAGGAGGTTGTTGGTGTTGTTAGTGATAGCGAAAGGCGGATTAGTAGCAGAGGTTGGAGAATACACGCAGTTCAGTCACAGTGAATTCGAGTTTGCTACGTCCTTGTCGTTGTCGAGGTGAAGTGAGAACCTTTCCAGAGCGCCTCTGAGTACCCTGCAGGAAGTCATGGTGAAGCAAGATTTTGAGTTTTCCATGAATGCAAGACCTTGTAGGAGCCTTAGTTGAAGAGTGACAGGTCATGGCATTTTCGAAGGAGAGCAAGAAGTCAACTACTGGGGTGGACAGTTCGTGACTGTCGGCTCTTTGCAAAGCCCAGCTCACGTGATGTTTCACTCAATCTGACCTCCATTGTACCAACCTGCACAGCGTGCCCCTTCATACTCGGCGGTTCAACCAAGCTTCCACGCATTCGCCTTTCACCCACCGGGACAAGACACCTTATACAGTACCAAGAGTCTGGGCAAGCAAGCCCGCTGTGCGGTGTCTAGACTGTAGAATCCGGGGTACAGACGGCTATGTAAACATTTACCGTACGTGATGGCGCACAATATGGCGGGTAAAACGTGATTGGCGCGTTAAGTTCCCCGGATCCCCAGGACTGGCTGCTATTCTCCGGGATACGGGGAAATGTCGTGTTGTGGTCACCTCGCATTACGCAAGGGGCGCAGCGTATATGTGAAGAGGGAATTGCGGCTGCGGTGATGCGGATGTGGTGATGCGTCCTTTACGGATATGACAGCCTCATGTGATGGTATGTAAGAACTCATTTAGACGTTCTTGGTAACAAGGGGAGTGGTTCGGCAAGCCTGCCGTATATATGAAATCAGGAGATCGATCCATATTCGCAAGATCTCAAGGACCAGGGACAGTGATCTTGTGCAGCCGGGCTGAAGGGTCGAACAGCTCATTACGATCTCGTAACTACGATTGCGGATTCCTGCTGCCGACATGTTCGCTGATCATGCTGGTCCAGAACATGAGCGCAGTGACGGTGAGAAGGAGACAAGCGGTATGCGGCTCAAGCAAGATGCAGGCAAACGTCCCTTGGCGGCGCGCTTGGACGCCCCACGAAAATATCGCAGTCCTTCATCTGTTGCTGTAACATCGCCAACACCTCACGAACTATGCCTGAAGTACTGCATAGCCTGCTAAGCTTCTTGGATATCGAGCAATCACCATACAATGTGTAAGAGATGCGCCTTCTGCCGCCACTTCTAGCCTTGGAAGCGCCACACGTGTCACGCGGCTTCACATAGATTACCAACTCACAACTCCACTGTTCGGTGTTCACGCCAAGACGTTCTTTAACCGCAGGAAGATTGTAAAGGCGGAGAGCTTGGCATATGCATGCCATAGACCTTGGGAGCACACGTGGATGGGTGCTCGCCAGGACAGTCGTAGCGCCGCCATGACCCGAAGCCCACTCCACCACGGAGATATTGACATGTAGGTTAATGACCGCCCGGTCTTGTCCCGTAACCGTTTGTTTCAAGTTACAGACCAATCATAGCGGATGCTGCGCCGGCATTTCGCATGCCTTTCTTTCCAGAAGCCAAGCCCGGCATAGTGGTGTTTCTCCTATCGCAGCACTTGATCTACATCCTAGCTGCTAAGAGACGGACGGCCGTAGTGATGGCGAGAATGTTTGTCTTGGTTCCGCCAGCAGACCCGGGGCTACCCCATTGAACCACCAAGCCGCGGTGTGTAGTGGAGCAAGGCATATAAAGCCAACTTGAGTCGCCTCGTAGATCACCACCACGATCAAACATCTCCTTCGCTTCCTACCACAAGCAACTCATATTCAAGATGGTCTCTTTCACCTCCCTCGTCACTGCTGCTATTGCGGCCACTGCCGTTTTCGCTGCTCCCGCCACTGATGTAGCTGCTCGTTCGGCTAGTGACCTTGTTGCCCGCCAGAGCACTCCCAACGCTGAGGGAACTCACAACGGCTGCTGTAAGTCGTATCATGAAGCAATATGTTGAGCATAGCTGATCATATGTCTAGTCTACTCTTGGTGGACTGATGGTGGCTCCCGCGTCACCTACACCAACGGTGCTGGCGGAAGCTACAGCGTCAACTGGGGAAGCGGTGGCAACTTCGTCGGTGGAAAGGGATGGAACCCTGGATCTGCCCGGTATGTCAACCCAAGCAACTGCATGCTTGATGTGAGACCTTTGCTGACCATGTATCAGTACCATCACCTACTCGGGTACCTACAACCCCAACGGCAACTCCTACCTTGCCATCTACGGCTGGACTCGCAACCCGCTCGTCGAGTACTACGTCGTTGAGAACTTCGGGTGAGCAATGTCCCTGTACGGACTGCATGAGAGACATACACTAACATCACAAAGAACCTACGACCCATCTTCCCAAGCCTCGAACAAGGGTACCCTGACCGCTGACGGCTCTTCCTACAAGATCGCCCAGTCGACCCGTACCAACCAGCCATCCATCGATGGAACTAGGACCTTTCAGCAGTACTGGTCTGTTCGCCAGAACAAGCGTTCGAGCGGATCCGTCAACATGAAGACTCACTTTGACGCCTGGGCCAGCAAGGGCATGACCCTTGGTAGCCACTACTACCAGATCGTCGCCACTGAGGGTTACTTCTCCACTGGCTCCGCATCCATCACCGTCAACTGCCCGTAAGCTTTCCATCGTGGAAAGACTCAACTTCCTGAGGCGGTGACGCAGATGCTGTGATGGTGCAAGCGTGTGAAGATGCCAAAGGTCGTTCACTTCCCTGGCGACTTCTTTACTGTAAATATTATCTTACGCCGGTTTGCTAGCACGAAAATGTCAAACTTTTGCCATTCCACATACCAATTCACGTCGCTGTCAATCACTGGTGCCAGCTCTTCACGCGCACGACATACTAAAGCAATGCGCGAGACCGAGCTTGCTTTCTCATATACATACCTTTCCTAAATATTAGACTTGACAATGTGCCTTCGCCACTGCATACAATACTCATGCGGGCACATGCGGCTCCGTTCTATACACCCTTTTACGTTATGTCCACGAGCCGAACATCGCCCCCCACAGCGTCAATGTAACAGCGTCGATGACCGAATGCACCCCGAAAGTAAACCGTGTCCAGGCTGTCCCAAGAAAGCGCAAGATCCTAGAAGTAGGGAAGATAATAAAGATAAGAAACCACGGGACCCTCGTTGGCCCGGCGGCCCGAGATGGTCTGGCTATGCCGGTTTAGGCGGAAGAGATAATTACCGCGACGATGTACCGCAGTAGAAATCAGGTGCAAGAGACCTGGTTGCGGTGTAAGGTGAGGTCGATCGGAGCTCGTGGTGATTTGACTGCCCTGGAGGTGTCGAAGCGCCCGTCATATCCACCTGTGGACTTGTCTCGCTCAGTTCACCTTTACCTACTTACACGCACCTACGACTGCTACTAGCTGCGCTAGCAGCTGCACGCTCATTATTGTACATATTTGTTTCCCCTCACTACTACTCAGCCTCGTCCTACGCACCCTTCTAGCCTCAACAACCTTTACTGCAGGCAGTACACCCACACCTATCTACGCAAACGCGGTGACCAGTCCCCATATTTCTACTTCTTACTACCGAAATAGCTATTTAGAGCGACTCGAGCTATGGCAGACAACCGCTTTGGCTACAGTTTGCAAGAGTTCCACGATACGATCGCCAAAGACAGTGAGTGGCGAACAAATTTCCGCTACCTCCCTATAGCCACGAAGACGAACCTCAAGTTCTACGCAGCAAGCCGAAAAAAGCAAGGCAACCAAGGAATTTGGCTGCTTATTGGCAATCAAAAGAATACTAGTCAAGCCCGTGTGTATTCAAGAGCATACAAGTCTCCTGCGAGCGGCGTATTCAACCTGGTGTGCCTCAGGCTTGGCGATGGCCCTAATATAGAATTACACCTTCGGCAAGAAGAGAAGGAGATCGAGCTGCTGCGAGAAACCGAATACCATGAACCCTTCAATTGGCTTGAGAAGATTGGTAGTGGCCCTTGGTTCAAGTCACTACGATTTCTGGTCTTGTATTACTTCCTTGAGCAGAATACCCCGGGTCTTGACCGACTTGTCATGACGCATGACGGCCTGAAAGTCTTGAAGAAAGCATGCACAATGATCGCCAATGCGTCAAGGTCGAGGAAGCCGACGCGAGATCTTCTAGCTCTTCCAACGATTGTTTGCGATATCACGAGACCCGAGACTGACAGGTGGAACATCGAGCTTGACCAGGAGATAGAGAAGAAGCTACTTGTCAAGCGAGAGCTCTCGGTATTCCCGCCACTCAAAGCACCTGAGAATGACTCTACGCGGGCGCTTGATAAGATGGTACAACAAGACGACAACGTTACCACGAGGCCACTCCCGAAAACGAAGACCCATGGTCAGGAACCAAATATAAAGTACGAAGCTGTACCAGCGATATCTGAAACTGCATCTAGACCCAAGAGGAAGAGATCTGCAAGCGATGACACCGCGGGAGAAGATGAAAAGGAAGACCCAGTACTGTTGGTAAGTCACGTTCGGGATAGCAGAATTCGTCGAAACTGACCACCACCCCAGTGTGGCCGCTTGAAGCGCGTCATACGACAGGAAATTGAGAGCCTAGAAGAGACAGAATCAGCGCTTCAAGACGCATTGAATGCGCAGGCCATGTCATTCAACGAAGCTCTGCAGTCGAAATCTAGTCTCGAAAAGGCCTTGTTAGATGCCGAAGTAAGGGTACAGGTCGAGCAGGCAACGAAAGCGGCTACGGAAACAAGGTTGAACAAGGTGGAGAGTGAATTGAACGACAAGAGGAAACTCGAAAAACGCGTTGACTCTTTGTACACTTGAGGTACTCGAAGTAAGAGATAGCATGGCCTGCGAAGATGACCACCGATCGCCAACAGAAGGTGTACACTCCACTAAGGGACCCTATCTCCACCAAGAAGAGTCCATACTCAACTCAGAGAGTGTACCCAAACAAGATACTGTATACTTAGACACCATATGAGTTCTGAATATTATAGCCAGCTGGAACGGATTTCTTTAATGTGAACCAATCTACATTACGAGTGCGCGGTGATATCAGTGTAGAGTGGCATCGTACCCGGAGTTGTTGCAAGCGCTTCCTCGATGATTGATAAGGCGAGATCGATTTGCTCCTCCGTGACTGTAATGGGTGGCGCTATCCGAAACACTCCACCGAACGAGGCCATCGTGGCTAGCTGAGCCCACAAGCCCATCTCTGCAATCTTTGTTGACACTGCGGCTCCTACTTCCGGGGCACCGACCTTTGTCTTTCTGTCGCCAACAATCTCCATTCCAGCCATCAGACCGCGACCACGGACGTCCCCAATGCAACCGTAGCGTGTCTGCAATTGCCTGAGTCCTGCTTGGAGCTTGACACCGAGCCTCTTGGAACGAGCGCAGAGCTCGTCCCTCATGACGATCTCGAGAACCTTGTCGCCCACAGCAGCTGGAAGTGGATCGTTGATATGGGTAGTGTAGAACAAGAAACCGTTGTCTTTGGCATGCTGGGCGATGGGGTTCGAAGTTAAGACAGCACTGAGCGGTATGCCATTTCCAAGCGTCTTGCTGAGTGTCACGATATCCGGTACTACGCTTTCGTCCTCGGGGTGGTGTGTGAATGCGAACATATCGCCAGCTCTGCCAAGTGCTGTCTGTGCTTCATCAACAACGAGAAGCATGCCTCGAGCGGTACAGTGGTCTTTCAAGGCCTTCAGATATCCAGGGGGAAGCTCCAGCATACCTCCACTCGATAGGATCGGCTCGACGATAGCCGCTGCGAGTGAGCCGCAGGACTGTTTGTCTACAAGATCGAAACCGTAGTCCAACTCAGTCTTCCAATCATGCGTACCATCAGCGTGTCTGAAGATCGATCGATAGGAGTTGGGTGTCGGCAGCGCTAGGTTCTAATTGTAGGCGCGTGAGGTCAGTGTATGTCTGACATGCAGTTGATGCAGATACACTTACCCCAATCATGTTGGGACCGTAGCCTGACCGTCCGGCGTGATACTGAGCACCGAGTGACCCGCCTGTCATGCCATGCCATGAGGCAGCCAGACCGACGATCTCCCATTTGCCAGTGTAGAATTTGGCCAGCCGAATTGCGGCTTCGTTCGCTTCGCCGCCCGTACTGAGAAAGAAGGCTTTGTCGAGCCCAGCCGGCGCAACGCCAGTCAATCGTTTTGCAAGATTGATGACTGGGGGACTGATCATCCCACTGAAAAGATGATCGAGATGTTGCGCATGATCCGCGATCACTTTCACAACCTCAGGATGGCCATGCCCAATCAGAGTGCTCATCTGGCCTGAAGTGAACTACATGCAACAATTAGCGGTGTATACTTGAGGCTTTCCGGAGCTTGAAGCCACTTACGTCCATCATTCGGTGACCCGATGCTGTCTGCACGTTGATGCCATCGGTGGAGGTGATGATCTCAGGATGGAATGCGGTCCCGTACGTGAGCAGATTGTCGTCCGCATCGCGCTGCAATTGCGTAATGTCGGCGTCTGCGTATGGAAGAGGCATGATAGTGTCTATCTCGCTGCAGCTATACTGGTCGATGGGAAAGATGATGTTTGGCGTTGCTTGTGTTCCCCATGTTGCTGAATAGCTGGGGACTGGTTATATAGACAGTCTTGTATGCAGTCCCAGGCGCCATCCCACGGAACGATACGCACGAAGACGCATTGCTGTGTTTTCCGACGGAGACGCTGGAAGCATCAGAGCAGATACACGTGACCGTATCCCGTCGGAAAGAAGGTGCAGCCATGGAGGTGGCAGGGGATGATAGCGATAAGCATTGAGCTAACTACGGCTGGCGCTTGAGCCACGATGACGACGCGAAACCCGAGAACGCGACCGCGACCGTGCAACTTCGGGAAAACTGCAATGTGCACTTCTACAGCTCAACAGCCGCGCACGCTGCATCGATACACTGAACCTGAAACTCTATGATTTTCATACCACTCACATTCTCAGCCCGAGCTGTAGTTACTCTCGACCCACCCACCATCAATGGACCATGACGCTTTTGTAACGTGCGCGGCCTCATCGCCCAGCAGGAAAGCGACCGATCCGGCTATCTCCCATGTTTCTGGAAGCTCACGGTTCAAGATACATGGAATGTTGTCTTTATTCAGATGGAATTCACCAGCAGCTGAGTTGAAAGGCCTAAGTATCGGAAGTCAGCGAATGTGTCACGATCAATTTGTACAGAAACAAAACTCACTTCGTCATCATCTCTGTATTAAAGCATCCGCTGCTTACAGTTAGCTCAGGCCTTCTTCAGCCATTCAAGTCACTTACGGGCACAGCGCGTTGACCCTGATTCGCCTTGACGCTCCTTCAAAAGCTGCAACTTTCGTAAGACCAATGAGCGCGTGCTTGGCGGCGACGTATGCTTCAAGGTTGGAGATGCAAAGTCAGCGTATGTTTCGTATGCATCTGGAAACCTCGGTCTTTACCTGACGTGCCAGGCGTTCCGTAGTGGCTCGCAATGCTTCCAACATTAACGATTGAGCCACCGTCCTTGATGACCTTCATCTCTTCTTTCAGGCAATGAAAAGTGCCAACAACGTTTACGTTGAGCAGCCTAGCGAAGTATTCTGGGTCGAGATCGGTTATAGGGAAGATCTCGCGTTGCTCCACCGCTAGACGACGCAATCAGAAACACATATAGTATCCAGAAGGCTAATTGAGCTCACCAGCGACGTTTGCGGCTCCATCAAGCTTTCCGAATTTAGCTACAGTTTCCTCGATCCAAGACCGAACACTGTCTAAGTTGGCGATATCTACGACACACGTCCAGTACCGGTCCTTGGCGTCTGGAAGCTCAGCGTCAATTTCTTTGGTGGCTTTAGACAGATTGTCAACCGAAGTTGCCTAGAGTTTGGCACACGAAGTCAGCTCACGTCCCGCATACATCTAGTGCAGGAAACTGACTTACACACATAGATACAGTGGCACCGCGTATTAGTAAGTACTTGCTAACAGCTAGACCCAGTCCGCGGCTGGCTCCAGTAACAGCGATGACTCTCCCCAAAAAAGGAAGGGTATTGACAGCATACGGGAGGGTCTTAGCTGTGCCGTTCATATTGATAAGACAAGAAATGAGAAATATCAGGTAGCGTCAGTTCGACAACAATGTGCCGCTCATATATCTGATGAGTCAACAGCAATGCAAACCCTCGTTCAAGGCTGCGAGCCACGAATGGCCAGCACAACAGCGCCGCATACTCACATGCCGAACTCCTAATACAGTTGCCCACATGGGTTACTACGACCCATTCAAAGCTCCCGCACTAGATCCTTCAGTGGGGCGCGGAGTTGTGTGCCGCTGTTTATTGGGGAAACCCCCGGAACTAGCGCGATCTATTTGCCGGCTATCAGCTCCAGAGAAAGTCAATCGCACGATCCATCACTATCTGTTGTGTTGCACACGCTTGTTGATAGAATGCTTGGCTCACAGCCATCTTCATACTTGGTAGCGGCCGTGCCACAAGGTCTAAAGTAATGTGTGGACTGTCAAGCAGGCATGCAGGTGATAATTCGCTTGGTACCTCCATATCTACTTGATGAGGTTCCCTCTTTCGTCATCATCAGTCTCCTCTTCACTGTCTGTTTCGTATTCGCTCTCTTCCTCTGTCTCTTCCTCTTCGTCAGTTTCCTCTTCGCTGCTACTCTCCTCTTCTTCCTCGGCCAGCCAATCGTCCAGCGTCTTCTCTTTCTGTGGTAGTTTACTTGCACCGCCCATACTAGAATCTCCGCCCATGCCGTTCAGACTTCGTGGACTCAGCATGCTGTCTGGCGTCATTCTGCTGCTACCACCTGCTGCAGCATCTAACCTTTCCGCTGCTGACATGTTCTTCGCTGTCTCGTATGCCGATACGTATGTCGAAGAAGAGTTTGAGACGACCTCGTCACGTAGAGCTGGATCCGGTTCGTCGCCTTCTTTGACCCAACGGGGCAGGTCTTCGTAACCTCGTAAACCACCTACACCGCCTTCGTCGCCGATGACGAGACTGGCGCTGCCGAGCACGTAGCCCTTTCTTGTTTCACTCGGGCTGGGTATATGTGGCACTGGTTTCGGCGCAAGAAGTAAGAGCGACGCGAGTTGTGTCGATGTTGGTGTCGCCAGAAGCGCTTTGTAGACGCGAGCGCGGTCGCGGAGATCGTACGAGGTGTCGTACCTCACGAGCAGGAGCACGTAGTTGTATAGGGCTTCAATAATGTGTGGCTTCTCCTCTTCAGGCTCCGCATTCTGTGGGGTGGACTCAAGATGCTCGTCCCTAAAGCCGCCTTGGTCTTCCTGGAAATCATCCATGAGCGACGGACTCGGTTTGGGCTCTTCCACTTTCGGCTCTGGAGGCGGGTTTGCAGTTAAATGATGCACATAGACCTTCGCTGCCAATAATACGATTTGGAGCTTTGCTGGTTCGGCCTCGTCCGCGAAGCCTTTGACAAGGATGCGTAAAACATCAGCGGCGATGTTGTTTTCTGGGTCGATCCCTGCAAACTCTCCGACCAGCCATATGATGCTTGCTCGTGCCTGGGGGCTCGTTGCTGCATCGAGGTGTTTGGCTAACCGGACCACAGTTGTTCGGTGAGCGTTCGGGTTTCGTTGGATCAGATGTCGGATGACTTCCAGCGATTCGGCTACCAGATGAGTATCGGCCGATCCTATGTGCTTTAGCAACAGCTTCAGACATCTTGCGGAGGTCTGTGGGCTTGTTGCAGGGCTCTGCGAGCAGCGGCCGATTGCGCGCACTGACTCTTTGACCAATGCTGGATCCAAGCTTCCAGAGTGGGAGAAATGGCTCAACTCAGCCAAGATTAGGCTCTGTAGTCTCAGAGGTGCATGAGGGAATATCAGAGTAAGTAGTTCCAGTTTGAGCTGCCAGATATGTGGCGCGTCGGTTGATCGCACCAAGAAATGTGTGTAGTACTTGACGAATGGCTCCGGGTGCGTCAGGCAGACTTGCACGATATTGTACAGTGCGATGTGCTGAATGTCTCCCGCAGATCTCAAGAGGGATATCAGCGGGCCAATGGCCTGAGTCAGGTACTCTGGGGTACCGAGATACAAGTACGTCCTTGCCACCGCTATCACTACAGCCGCGTTCCGAGACTGCAAAAGTGACTGACAGCCTTTCAGCAGCAGTTCGAGGTCCGGATCCAGCACAGCAATCTCTTCCATGTCCTGTTCTTGTTCCTTTTCCTCTTCTTCTGAATCGCTTTCTGAATCGTAAAAGCCTTTCGTCGACTGCGTAGGCTTGCTATTTGTCGTAACCCCAGCTGCCTTCTTGACCTTCCTCGTCCGGCGCGGGAAGCACTTCCTTGCATATATCATCATGAGCCGCAGTGTAGCCAACTGACCCCACTCGTCCATATCAACTAGTTTTCGTACCAATGAGCGGTAGTGCGGATGTATAAGATCCAGACGCTCCGGACATAGCTCCAAGAAAGACGATACAGCTGCGCCCGTCACGAAGTACTGCTTGTCGCCCAGTAATGTCGAAAGGTATTCCAGTAGCTGCGGCTCGGTGTTTGGATCCAGCCTGTAGCACTTTGGTATTGCTAGAGCTGCTGCCCTCCTGACATATGCTGACATGTCTCCAGAACCGCGCTTTATGCCCAAGCTCACAATCTGGCTAATGACAGGCACCCTTATGCTCGACATGACGCGTAAGGCGAGGGCGCGAAGCTGAGGGTTCGTGTCCGTCAGCGACTTCTGTATCGTATTGATGGAGAGGAGCGCGGTGTCTGGTTCGTGTTCGGCATGCTGGAGGAGGTAGATGTAGACGAGCTTCTTGACCTGGAGCGAGGGGGATGCGACGTTCTTGATCACGTGGGAGAAGAAGGGCAACGTTTGCGAAGGCGGCTGTCGGTAGGACATCTAGATGGGCTGTAGTCAGTTACTACACGTCCCACAGCGTCCAATGGGCTGGTCTCGAGACCGTGGCGGGGCTTCCTACAGTGACGACTCTTCGCAGTCCTTCGAGCACATCGCGCTCTGATCTGCTGTCAAGGAGCTTCTTGAGCTGGCCCGAAGGCAATTCTTTTGTCGGCGCTCGTCGAACATTGCTGGCATCGCGGGCGGCTTCGAGGGTGAGGTCGCGAGCTGCAGAGAGAGACCAGTGAGCGAAGTTCGAGGGATGCATGACGGTGGCACCAAGCAATTACATGGTCAAAAAGCCTGCAGCCCAGATCGGGGAGCAGAAACGGGCAGCATATCTGTATGAAAAATGTGAAAGGCGCCATACCTGTCTCCAGCAAGCTCGATATGCGACTGATGGACTCCATGACCGCGACGTGCGCCTGGGACAGCGCTTCGGTCCGGAGCGTGCGCGCTTCGTCTCTGCGCACAAACGGGAGGCCGACTATGCAGAGTCAGGCAAGGCAGGGAGCAGGTTCTGGGCCTGGTGATCGTGATTGAAAGTCGCGGCGTGCATGCCCTGGGTGTTCTGATGGATGGCCAACCGACGTAGTGGGGTGGCCCGGGGCGCGGGTATTGCCGCCGATTGGCACCTCCGCGCCTGTCACGTCCAGCCCAAGCTGTGCTCCCCGAATAAGTATACCGATGACAACCTGCACCGACACATGACAGCCGACAAACTTTCCACAAGCAGCCGTTCTGTCATGTCGCCAACGCCCGCGCCAACAGTGCTCTACCCGCTAACCCTCCCGGCCTTGCTTCGCTACCTTCTTACCACACAGTCAGAGACACGTCCAACACTACTGATCATTTGCTCGAGTCGGGATAGCTTCCTCCAAGATCTTGCAACATCACTGCACAATCACGATGAACATGACGCGGATGGTCTGGAGCAGTTGGTCGCGCCAACCCTTCAAAACTTACTCACGACACGGCATGTCAAACTTACATTCTGCGCGTCTGTGCAGGCCTTGTTAGCCTACTTGACCGCATATGGTCGGGCTGGAACCAGTGTCGCTGCCGATGCCGAGGAAGAGGAAAGAGTCGTCTTGGTGAATCCAATCGCTTTGCATGCCTCAACATCTTCCTTCTCAGCCCAAGGCCTGTCCAGATGCTTCTCGGCGGCGGCAGAAGTCGCGCTTAAGCCAGGTGTAACGCTCCATATCGCTGAGTGCGAGGGCAGGCGCGAGCGTCAGGAGGAGCCCGACAGTGACGACACAGACATGGAGAATGATGCCCAAGAGCCCTCCGCGGAAGCACGCATGACAGATCCATGGGAACAGGACATCTCCATCCTGAGTATCTCGGCCCGGAAAATCGGATCTGGAAGCGGCGACCGAGCGTGGGCAGGTCGTACGGTCAAGGCGAAGACGATAGCTGCCAGGTGGTTTCGCTTCTACAATATCGAAGAGCAACAAACATACGCAGACCAAGGATGAAAGACAACACATTGCAGTGACCAATTGTGAAACGTTTCTGCTGTTCAATTCGCCTTTGCGCCATCCAGCCGGACTTGTTGGGTCCATCTAGATGGTCGGCCGTCGCTTCGTTACTTCGTGGGAGCTTAAGCTGCCCTGGATATCCATCGCTTCCAATCGAAAGAAAATGACACCTTCCGCTACATCGATACATGAATGTCCCCATCAGCCAAACGCGTGCGATCGCAAACTACCAGTCCTTCTTGATGTCGAATGACCACTTGAATTGAAGATGGGTGTGGTTGTCATCGTCGACGAACTTGGAGACGGCGGTGTAGTGGCCACGGCCGAGCATACCGGAGGGGGCAGTTTCAGGTTCGACTAGAATAGGCATTAGTGGGTTGTGGGAGACAACATGGGCGTGTACATACACTTCTTCTCGTAGTATGGCTTCTCCTCAGTGCTGGGACCGTATGAGCCCTGCCATGGCTGTTAGTGCTTGCTCATATGCTCCTCTATGGCGGATATGCTCACCATCATCTCCTGAAGCTTCTCGCTGACACCCATGCGTGAGACCTTCTGGAGGTACTTGAGACCAGACAAGATATCATGTTGCACCTTGAACTGTGCCTTCATGCGGAACCGAGCACCTTCCTTGATGGAGAAGGGCTTTTTCTCAAGAGCCTCGACGGCACCGGGTGCGCGCAGGTCGATGACGATATCATCGCGGCCTTCGACTTCGAGAGCGAGAGAGAGGATGATGCATCGGCGGGGATCGTTGGGGTCGGAGATGTCCTTGCCTTGTCCAAGACCAAGGGACGCTTTCCACTTCTGGAGCGACTCGTCGTTCTGGTCTGTCGCCGCACGTGTTAGCCATGTGTGCAGGTAACTAGCTCCCCGGAGAAGTTGTGGAACCTACCCAGCTGCTGGTACTCGTCAATCGTCTTCTTCTCGCCAACCTTGAAGCCCTCGGTGGCCTCGGCGTGGAGGTCGTCTGCGTGGTCGGCCATGGCTGCTATCGGTGCGTACTGTGGAGGTAAGGGTGGGTGTTTAGGGCAAGGCAACAAAAGAAATGTTGTGGAGAAGTCAAAGGGTCAATTGTAGGAATGAGGGGCGCGGCCTCGTGTTGAGCCTCGCGGTTAGCGGGGCACATTCACCGCTCCAGCACGTCGGCGCGTCTGATTGGCTGCGTTCCTGGTGCTTGCGGGACCCTTCAGATATGCCGCAGCTGTCCAGACTCTTGCTGCAACACGACCATGTCCGCCATGGTCCTGTCCTCAGGCAGAGAAGATTCTTGACGTACGAACTGTCTCATGGTCGAGCATGGACCAGACCCCTCTCTTGTTCTTTTTGGAACAGGCCACCGGTATCTGCAGGGTCGTGTCGCGAGCTTCTACCAGACTGACAACTTGTCGGTAAGCTCTCGAGCTTGAGCTTGAGCTTCGTGACGTGGTTAGCGCCATCGCTGGTAGCGTATGCATCCCGTCCCGGAGATATAATTCTAAAGGAATGGTACCAGGTGATGCCCGGGCAAGAACCGATGTGGAACAAAAATCGTCTTTGTAGTTGGTTTGCGATTTGAGCATACCGTCACTTTGAGCGCCTCAATTAGATGTGAAGATGTATTGCCGCGCGCGACCAATGACCACGAGTCCAATTAGCTATCCTAGCCGCCGACATTCTCTCTAAGCTGCATCGATTGAGGCTGCATTGACCGAGTGGGAGCATTGCTCGCCGTGTTTGGGGGTGGAAGGGTGATGCCCTGGTGCTGTCCACAGTAACGCGTCACGAGAGAAGAGCGGAAACGCGTGACTTTGAGCGCTTTCCCCATTGAGCCCGTGGAAAGACAGGCGACGCTTCTTCGGGCCTGCTATGCCATGACAATATCGGCACGGCCAATCGGTAAGCACTACCAGCATTGCAAATACACTAGAAAGGGTTGCCGCGAAACTTTTGCGTTCGCGCAGACGACTGTCCGGGGTGGCTGGGGGTCTTCGTTCTGGGAGCGCTAGTGCACAGGGATAGCACCCATCGCTCCTTCCTGTCCGCCTCCGTCGCATCGCACCACCTTTCATCACGTCGATCGCGCGCTTTCACCACGCCCTCGCCCACGTCGCCATATCGTCTCGATTCGACACTCAGCTGTCTTCACTCGTCGTGCGACTCGGTCCGGCAGTACATTGTTACTGACGATTGCGCGCGTCATACGTGGACGGAACCGTCAAATCTTCACGCAACCACCTTTGCGCTGCGCGCTCCGTTCATCGCCAACACGCGTTATATTACTACGCGCACATCAGGCTAAACTTCAAGACCTACCGGCAACACCTCCAAAATGGTCTCCCACCGCAACCTGCCCGAGAGGAAGAATCCTCTTCTCGAGCCCACCGAATCCACAGCCAGTACGTATACGTTGCGCATCGCGTCATTGCGACCAGTCATCTAACCATTGCGCGCAGCCGAGATTCTCATCGAGAGGCGCCGCCTAGGACAGACAAACCTCGGCGTAAAGCCCGGCGTCAGCGGTCTTACCAATGCGACCAAGCCGGAGAACATGGGCACGTTTGATTACGCGCATCTGAGGGTTCCGCTGCCGAAGGACTTGACAGGATCCGGCATCTTCACATTGAACAAGACCTCGGCTTTCCCCGAATCTTACTTTTTGATGGTACGCGTTATGAAAAAAGAAGCCGCAAGATTTCGCTCAGGATGCGACTAACACGACAAACAGCGACGCAGCAGCGATGGCTACATTAGTGCGACAGGCATGTTCAAGGCTGCATTCCCATGGGCTTCGGTCGTAGAGGAAGATATGGAGCGCAAGTACCAAAAGACATTCCCTTCTGCAGGCGCCGAAGAGGTTGCTGGAAGCGTATGGATTGCGCCTGAAGAGGGTGAGTAACTTACCTTCACCTGTTCTCGAAAGCTCGCGCTAACTTAAGGTCCCTCTAGCTCTCGCGTTGTCTGATGAGTATTCTATGCGCCATTGGATTGAGGCACTTCTAGACCCCGCGCCGATCGAAAAGGGCAACAAGGACAAATCAAACACGCATATCCAAATGCCACCAAAGTTTGACGTCGCAAACGCCACACCCGTAACTCTCCCCGCACCCGGTCTTCGCACAACTCGCGCCCGCTCGGCTCGATCTGTATCACCTAGCCGAGGCGCAACTCCCAGCAGCCGAAAGTTTGCGACTCCACGAAAGTCGCGAGCCACAAGAAGCGCGATGAAGCCTGACCTTACCAAGGCTGACGAGGCCGTTACCCCGTCGAGCGCTTTGCAAGCAATCATTGCGAACGGTACCACACCTTCTGAGTCAGTCGCATCATCCGTCGATGGCGATGTGAAGGAGAAGGAGGCAGTGTCTGAGCCCAAGACTGAGCCAGACGTCAAGGAGGGCACAGTTCACATCGAAGTCGAGCAGACCGTGGAGACAAACGGCGACACTGAGAAGACCAGCACCAACGTCACCGTCGATGTCCCTCACAGCCATGCTGCGCTTCCCGAGCCAGAAGATCCTACCGCCATGATCGAGGAGGCCAAGCGCATGGTCGCAGAAGCACAACGGCTAGAAGGCGACTCGTCGGCCAATGTCACCAAGTCGACAAAGCGTGGCATTGAGGACGTTTTGGAGGCGGAAGATCTCGCCGCTGAGCGTATGAGCAAACTTGCAAAGGTTGCTTACACCACCGAGCAGAAGTTGACCAAGGAGAAGGTCACACGGAGAGCACTTGTCGGCATGGGTGTCATGGCAATCATAGGGTATGTCTCCACTTGACACATTCAAATCTGAGCACAACTAACGATACATAGCACCGCCTTCCAATACCTTGCATAGGCCCACCACCATTTTCCTTGAACCCTACGGTCTCGCGCATGTTTTGGGTATTTGGAGGCTCGCCCCCCGCGCTTGAGTTCCAACGTGCTTTGCTTCATTTCGATTTGTTCGCAGATACCACCACCACCCAAATTTTCTCTCATCTTTTTTCACAGGCGTACAGGGAGGAGGCTTGTACGCTATTGCACGAAAGGACAAACGGTGGCTGGCTCCCTTTTGGAAAGAAAAAAGAACTTTTCAGGGACTTGTTCTCAGAGGCGGGAGCGGCAACACATTCGTTCTTGTGTGAATGCAGAGACTGGGTTGTCCGGGTGGTCAACAGTAGAGTATTTTAATCTGATATCCCCCCCTATTTTCACTGTTGCCAATGTAAATATATCTGTGTGTCTATGAAGCTAGTCCTCACTTTGATCCGCTCGCATTAGCCAGTTCTCCCACTTTCTTGACCGCCTCTTCAAAGTCGTCGAATGCGTGGATGGGCAGTTTAGCTTCCTCCAATACTTTTTGCCCCTTCTCCTCGTTCGTTCCTCTTAGTCTGACAACCACTGGTTTCTCCACCCCGATCTCCTTGAACGCCATGATGATACCCTCGGCAATCATATCGCACAACGTCAGCCCTCCAAAGATATTTACAAACACTACAGACACCCGGGGGTCGGACAGGATGAGTTTGAAAGACGTCTTGATCGTTGCAGACGTCGCCTTTCCACCCGTGTCCAAGAAATTAGCAGCAGAAGTCGAATAAGGTGGCTGTGAAAGCCGCAGAGACAGCGTATCAATAGTGTTGAGTGCCAGTCCAGCGCCATTCACCAAAGTTCCGATCAAGTTCCGCGGTCCCTCTTCTGCCGTAGAGGAAGGCGGCGTCTGCGTCCCCGCCTGACTAGTCCCCGGCGGAAATTCAGGAGACCCCAGCGGTATGTACACGATACCAGCTTCTTCAGCTTCTCGATCTGTTGCTGAAACTGACTCTTGGTCACGGAGAGCATGGAGATCAGCCTGCCTTTTGCCGGATTTGAATGCTGCGTCGTCGAAGAACAAGTACGGTTCGTAGATGAGTATCTCGTCGCTTTCGACGGACAGAGCGACTTTGACGTGGGCGTCGACTGCTTCTTTCTCCTTGTACAATGCCCACAGGTTGTTGATCAACTCGACAGTTTGGGCTTTGGCCATTGGTGGAGCGGC